TTCTTCTTCTTCTTCTTCTTCTTCTTCTTCTTCTTCTTCTTCTTCTTCTTCTTTTTCTTCTTCTTCTACTTCTTCAGAAGCTCCTATAATTCGAGCCTTACGTCTCGTATGCATTGGCAAAGTTGGCATCTCACAAAAGAAAAATTAAACAAAATTGAACCCATCGTTAGTGCTTTGCAAGCTTTTTTTTTATTAAACAAAAAAGGATTTCTTGCAAACAGATGTTTATATGATTGAATTTATCTATCCCTCAGATTATTCGATCAGATGATCAACAAAGTTTTTTTTTTGTAAAGTGTTTTACAGCGCTAGCAACTGCATAAGGTCATATGAGCGCGCTAACAAAGTTTACAGTTACTAGTTTTAAAAGGAGATGCATAGTTGGGACATTCAGAACTCGTTTCGTTCGGAATGTTTTTCCCTGCTTGGTCTTATCAGAGAGGAACGTTGAAACCGGAGATGTTGCCTTTTAGTGTCCCCATTCAGATAACGCACAAATACGTTTCATTTTCAATCAAAAATCAAGAGTTTTCTTTATTTTCAGACTGGCTCTGAGTTATGGTTCTTAGTGGGCTCCAGTGTGGAGCTGGGAATCTTGTACGGCGTCATGGTGGATCTCCATTTACGAGGACGTAACAGCAACTGGTACGACAAACGTGTCCCTTTTTGTTCCAGTGGAAAAAACCAAACAAACAGATGAGTCATATTTCAAGAAAGCAGAGGAAATGGAAATTCGGAGATTGAACCCCCCCCCCCCCCCCCTGGGGCGGTGTCACTGATTGAAGTGTCTTTAGACCTTTCCCAAAGCGTGGGCATTTCTCGTTCTAATGCAAAGTAGAATTGTAAATGGGCTGATTCATCGATGTCTGGCTCATAACTGTGCCTGAACTACGACAGGAACTGCTGCTTTTTCTTTTCTAATCCTTGTTATCGTCATTCTCCTCTACTTCCTTTGTATGTTTGTCACACTCATGTGACCCGCTATTTGCGGGGTGCCTTGATAGTCAAAGCAGACTTTGTGCTCTTGAAGCTAGACAGGTGAGCAGAGTAAGTCTGATTCCCTGTAATGACTTCTCTGTTGACATCCGCACCTTGGTGCTCATATAACCGTATGCAGTTGCGAGCTCCATAAAACCTATCCTAAAACTAGCAAAGAGTTTGAAAGTCCGTTCTTGACCTCAGGTAGTTTTGCAGAGTTTGGAAGGCTCTCAACCAATCTGGTTCATTCCTATCGTGAGACGGATTTTAGATTTCGTAAGTGGTTAATGAAATGGTGAGTATAGCATTTGTTCCCTTACCTTGCAAAGAATAGAAAAGAGACGTTATGCGTGGATCATTTACAGGAAGCAATTTCGATTTTTAGGGAATGTAAAATGAAAAAGGAACTCATTTCATAAAATTTGAGACATGTCTGGTGTTTCTACTGGAGTATTCATTTTATTCTATTTTCAAAGATAGTTTTGTATGCTGCCGATGCATTGCTATTTGCTTTGTTGTTGTTGTTATTATTGTTGTTGCTACCGATGTTGTTGTTGTTATTGTTGTTGCTACCAGTGTTGTTGTTGTTATTGTTTTGTGGGAGCGGTAGCGGGAGCGGCTTTAGGGTGAGCAGCTTCCACTGAGGAAAAAATATGGAACAGTGTTCATATTTGTGTTGTGTGAGTACGGCTGTAAGACTAAAAACAACTATTTGAACTTGCATTACATCAGGTTATCCCAGATACTTTTAGAAAAAAGGAAACAGTGTTGTTATTAAATCCGCAGTTTTTGTGTGTTTTTTGGGGGGGGAGTGTTTTACGGCGTTCGCAACTGCTGAAGTTCGTATGAGCGCGCGGGACACACCAACATCCAACATTTCATTTT